ACTAAATCCCAGATATTAGATCTATAAGAAGCCATGGCCTGATTCAAGCACTCACATTCTATAGCTAAAGAAACCAAGGTCCATAGAGTTGAAGTGGCTTGTCCGTGATCACAAAGCTACTAAGTGACAAAACTAAAATGCTAACTCATATCTTCTGATTCTAAGTCCCCATCCCATCTAACTATTTAGCTAAGCTTCATCAGTTAAACACATTTATTAAGTGTATGGTATTATCAAAGCACAGTGCTAGGTATGAGGGAAACAAATACAGAAATGAGGCAGGCATTTAAACTTGTGGAGCTTATATTGTATATGGCCTAGACAACATATTCACAGTTAAGTAAATATACAGTACGTAAAGAGTAAGTATCAGTGATCTGAGAGCTGGGAAGGCTTAAGAGTAAGGAATAAAGTGATCAAATATATGGAGGCAGGGAAACACAAGAAGTATCAGTTATTGGAAATTAGGATGGCTCAGCACAGGCCCAGACCCAGCTGATCTCTCCCAACATTCCCTTCTAGACAATTTTTAAAGTAACAATTCAAACCAAATTTTTGGAGCAGCAGAGACAACAAACGACACCTACCAGTCTTTTATAGCTAAATTCCAGTGCTCTAAGGTTAAGGAGAAAACAAAAATCAATTTTTTCAACTAAGACAATTAGGAGGTCAGCAGGAGAGGTCTGTGACCTGATATGGACACAGGCCCAGAACACAGCACGAGCATCAGTAGTAGGCCTTGGAGATGGCCATGACAGCAACAATAGCTTTAGGAGCTCTTAGTCCAAGAATGGGAAAATGGTCAGAGATTTAGTCAGAAAGAGATTAGAGGGGACCCTTTGCTGGCACTGATAGGCAACTCTACCGTCTATAAGCAGTGTTGGGTCACAGTTCCAGGATAAAGAGGAGCACTAGTATAAGGGAACAGGGGCTCTGGTTGCAGTTCCAAGGTGGAGAGGAGTGCTAGCACTTGTAGCTAAGGGCCTTGTAAGTAGCACTTGTAAGCAGAAGGCCTGGACATACTTCCAAGGCCAAGAGGAGCACTAATACTTGCAGCTGCAGGGGAGCAGGGACCGTTTCTTGGTAAAGACCAGAACGCAGATCAGGAGAACAATGATCATACGTCTCCCAGATAACATCACTTTGGAAGCACTGAAAAACTTAAACAGCCCCATATCTAGCTCTGAAAATAGCAGCATAAAAAAGCTTGAAGCTTGGGACAATTTCTCCCGACTCTTAAATGAGCAGAGCCCAACTTTAACATAAAGTTCAAGTCAAGAAATAGGCTGGGAAAATGGGCAAATAACCAAAATAAGTGATCATAAAAAGCTACTATGGTAATAGGGAAAATCAAGCCATAAACTGAAAAGACAACAATGTGAAAAAGACCTCAAAGAAAAATGCTAACTGGACCCAAAGCCAGCAGATATTCCTGGAAGATTTAAAGGAAGATATGAGTGATAGAGGTGGGAAAAAATCAGAAAATAAATGAGAGTGATGCAAGAAAATTGAGAAAAGAGAATTAACAACTTGGTAAAAGAGACAGAAAAAATACTGAAGAAAATAGCACCTTAAAAAACATAATTGCCCTAATGGTAAAAGAGGTTAACAAAATCACTGAAGAAATAAACTCCTTTAAAAGTAGAATAGGCCAAGTGGAAAAAGAGGCACAAAATCTAACTGAAGAAAATAATTCCTTAAAAATTAGAATTGAGCAACTGGAAGCTAATAACTCCATGAGACTTCAAGAAAAAATAACACAAAGTCAAAAGAATTAAAAAAGAAAGAAGAAAAATTGAAATATCTCTTTGCAAAAAACTATCCTGGAAAATAGATCAGGGAAAGATAATTTAAAAATTAGTGGACTGCCTGAAAGTCATCCTCAGAAAAGAGCCTAGACATCATCTCTCAAGAAATTATAAAGGAAAATTTCCCTATTATTTTAGATCTAGAGAGTAAAGCAGAAATCAAAAGAATCCACCAATCACCTCTTGAAAGAGATCCCAAAATGACATCTACCAGTCTTTTATAGCTAAATTCTAGTGCTCTGAGGTTAAGGAGAAAATAATTTAACCAGCCTGAAAGAAAAAAAAAAAGCAAATATCATGGAGGTATAGTTGAAGTCACACAAGATTTAGGAGCTTCCTTGTTAAAGGACTAGAGGAATTGGGATATTATAGTCCAGAGAGCAAAGGAGCTAGGATTACAACCAAGGACAACTTACCCAGCAAAACTGAATATAATCCTTAATGGGGAAAAATAGATGCTTAATGAAATATAAGATTTCCAGGCATGCCTGATGAAAAGATCAGAACTAAATAGAAAATTTGACATTCAAATAAACAACTCAAGAGATGCATAAAAAGTTAAACATGAAAGAGTTAAACTCTTTACATAACTATATAGTAAGATTATCTTATGGAAGATCACTGTGCACAGTAATAGCAATGTTGTATCAACTGGGAAGTACTTGGCTACTCTGATCGATGTAAGACAGTTCCAAAGGTTTCATGATAAAAAATGCTGTCCATATCTAGAGAGAGAATCAAAAAACTCTGGATGGAAAAAAAAAAGTCAATTATCCTTGATCAAAATTTAAGAACTGAAGTCTTTTCCCAGGTATTTATAAGTACATGTGGATTTTATATAGTTATACAAATGGCTAGAAGGTGAGAACAAAATTAAATCTCACTGGATTTATTATTTGCTAACAAACAAAAGACATTTGACTTAGTAGTAGTCAATATATACCTTAAAGACAGTCCCCTAACAAAAAATTTGTCATGCAGATAACAATATCACATATTATTTCTAGGTAGAAGGTGCCATGGATATTTTTTTTCAACAAACCTCAGATTAGAAATGTGAAATAAAGCAAAACAACAACAACAACACCACACACACACACACAGAAATATGCAGTCTAAACATGCTTAGCACTGTTATTGAAGCTATAACATACCAGGTCAAAATGGAAAAAGGGCTCACCCTGATAGGAATTCTGCTAACTAAATATTCCTGCTTGTAAACAATATTGGGTTGACTAAAAAGATACTAAGGACATTAAAAACTGACCTCAATTAAATCTATTCAGTCAAATGAGTTCAACCTAAAAATCAACAGAAGAAAAAACAAAATGGATAAGAAATGTCTTTTGCCCATATTATGATATGAAGTTGGCTGGCCAGTCTGCTCAGTTAGTATATTAGTATATAAATAGAGTACAGTCACTGAAAATGGACTGTGATTTTGGACCAAAATTCGAAATGAATGACAAGAAAAGACCAGATTGCATCTTAAAAATCTGGCAGTATTTTTTAATGATCACCAACTTACCCCTGATGTCCAAAACTATCGTGTTATAAAGATTCAAAGTGGTAGATGACCCAGATGACCACGGGTAGAATAAGGAAGATACAAATAAAGGGAAGCATATCTCTAATGGCTGTATCTATTCAAGAAATGGCAGGTGGGATATGTATGTAAAGTAAGTAAAGCATTCTTTTAACTTTTAACTTTTAAAATACTGAGTAAATGTGAGAGATTATAAATGTCCATTATTAGAAAAGGACATAGGCAGATCACATACTAACAAGAAGAGATCACAGATCAATAGCCTGAGGGTAACAGCATCATTCACACACTGTAATAAGATGAAGAGGAAAGCCTCCAGTATTCTAGAAAGATCGGTGGAGGTTCCATGAGAAACTGGGACAAAATCACACAGAATGAGAAAGTACAGATGAGTTTTGATCTGTACTGTACTGATGAGGCGGGAGAATCACTTTATTTATGAAGTCAAAGACACAATGGAATAGAGAAGTATGCATGGATACATCTAACATTATTACCATATTGTAACAGGATATATGAGCATTAAACATTAATCACTGCTAAAACATTTCATTAGGAATTCTCACCACATTAACCCAAAGTGTGTATATCTTAGCGAATTTATGGTAGCTATTTTATTAATATTCATTAATGATTTTAATAGTATTAATGTTTTATTGAAGAATAATATTATTAGAATTTCAAATATGATATTCACTTGGTCCCGGAAGATACAGCTTAAGAACTTAGTAAGGAAAAAGCATCCTAAAAAGTAGACTGCTAAAGGTCAGTCTGTATTATATAAAGAATCTATTTCAGAAATAGATCAAGAAGGGGAGCTGCATGAATTCCTCTTTATCTTTTGCTTATATGCAGACATCATAGGCATTTCTATGAATTCTTATGATATCTTACCAACCATCCAAATATAATTTGGAACATCATGATGTCTATTTCAAAGGCTATAAATCAGAAATTTCTATGGACATTTTACAGAGAGACAGATCAACTAAGATATAAAGCCTTGGAAGGGGCTGCAATCTGTGTGAGTTGAGGCAATATCCATCATAGTGAGAAAACTGATCCATAAAATTATTAAAACCACAAGTAAGGTTTAGATCGGCTATTAAAATCAAAACACCTAGAATACATTCTCCTTACTTATTTCCCTAGCTCCCTTCCAAACTTATCTCTAATATCACCTCTGATGTGTGAACTTTTCAGACCCTGCCCCCATCCACTATAGTCATTCATAATATCTTATATTTACGAAGTAAATATATTCCATTTAATATATGTATATACATTTGCCCCCCTCCAACAGGCTATAATACTGTTGAAGAAAGGGATTTTTTTTGAGGGGGTTATTTTGCTTTTTGTCTTCACAACCTTAATGCATAGTTGCTCAGTGTCTTAGACATTGTAGACACTTATTAAATGATGGTTGATTGATTTATTCAGAAAGTGATAGTGTAATAGTATGTACCTTTTCAGAAGTATTCAGCTATACCAAAGTATTAATGTATCCATTAAAAAAGCTCCAAACATGTCTGATTGAAATCTGCCTTCTGGCTAGTAGAGTCAACACCTTTGCTTTAAGCAGGTATGCCAAATCATAGAAAGCAAGAGAATGGAATTTGCTCATGCCTATTTCCTAAAGAACTCACTTGTTTAGCAATCTGCCGAGCAAGGACGTCCATCCTTGAACCTGATTCAGATATCATTTTAGCTGCATAAATCACATCAGTTGTGTGCTTCAGTGGGCCTCTGCCCCTAGAAATAGAGAAAAGCATAGCGGTTAGGCTTGCTTGATACACAGGAACAAATCATACATCAAAGATCATTGATCTCAGTCCTCAGGCAACTCATTCCTCTAATACAGGTGGCAGCACATTTTTAGCACAGTAGATGCATTAAAAGAAAGATGTGAAATATAATCAGGAAGATCAAATGGACCAAGGGAATTTCATTCCATCATTTGTAATGAAATAATTCAATTTGGGCAGGGATTATTCCAATTTGTTTTGGTATCCCTAGAACCTTGTACAATGCCCGTAGGATATAAATAATAGTTGAAATAGATGATTTTGTTTGGTTGAATTCAATTCTACAAACATCATTAATTGTGTATTATATGTCAAAAACTATGCTAAGAACCAAGAATACAATGAGGAAAAAAAATACCCTTGTCCTCCAGAAGCTTACATTTACTGGGTGGAAGCGATTTATATTTATATAAGTAGCAAAGAGGCAAAAATACAAGCTGTGTTGTTAGAGGATTTGACCTGTGACTTACTGCTCATGTACCCACAGATAAGTCACATTTTATTTCCCCAGGCCTCAGTTTCTTCATCTATGAAATGAAAGTTTGGATTTTATGACTTCATTTTTACCTCTAGATATATGATACTTGTGATTCTAAATAAATACAAAATAGTTTATAAGGGGGAGCACTTGTGGGGGAGTAATTGGCAGAATTATTTTTTTTCTTTAAAGAGGTGGCCCATTAGTTGAGTTTTGAAAAGAAAGTAGAGATTCAAAGAGACAGAAATTAGGAAGAAGAATATTCCAGGCATGGGGCCATGACCCATGCAAAGGCATGGAAATGTGAGATGGAATATCATATAAGGCGAGCAGCAAAAAAAAGAGTTTTCCTGGAATGAGAAACCCATAATAATGGATTATAAGTATAATTGCTCTGAATATAGTTGGAGTTATATTATGAAGGGCTTCAAATGCCAAACTGAGATTTTTTTTGTTTTCTTTATTTGTTTTGATGCTAAAGGTGATGAGTAGTCAATGAAGCTTCCTGAGCAGAAGAGTGACATGATAAAGTCAAAGATAATTTTGATTCATTAGAAAAGTTTCAAAACTCTGTGACCAGGAGAAAATGCAATAACATTTCAATTCAACAGAACACACACACACACACACACACACACACACACACACACACACACTTTTTAAAAAAATTACTATGTTCAAGGAATCACATTAAGCTAGAAGTGTGGGGTGCAAACATCAATATCCCCATTTTAAATGAAGAATTGAAATTAAATGAGTCATAGAATATTCAGATCACTTTGCTATACATAGTTGGTACACTGTTCGTCTTTGCGTTACCGTGTTCCATTCAAGTTTTTTTTTTAATTCAACAATAATCCAAACCAGTGAGAATTTATTAGCATCTTCCATGTGCAACACACTGTGCTAGGTAATAAGGTCCTCACCACCAAGAAATCTACATTCTTCTAGTAAGATACAATAGGTAAACAAAAAACAAATACAAAATGTTGTGTGGAAGGTGAAAAGCTCCAATGCTTTGGTTGGAAGGAGAATGACTGAAGGCTTTGGGTTACTCATTTCACAGCATCATAAACTAAAGATTATAATTTGTGGAAATGAGGAAGGAGATCATTTCAGGTAACTTGGGATTCAGCATGTACATAGCAAAAAGAAATGTGGAATGGCACATTCAATTTGGAGAATGGCTAGTCAAACAGTGTTGGATGAAATGTAGACTGTTTGAAAGGCAGTAATGTGAAATAAGAATGAAATTGTAGATAGGAAACAAGTATTTATTAAGCACTTACTATGTGCCAAGCACTGTGCTAAACACTTCACAAATATCTCAATTTATCCACACAACATTAAAGATAGATGGTATTACTATTCCCATTTTATAGTTGAAGAAACTAAGGCAGACAGAAGGTAAGATACTTGCCCAAGGGACATACATTCAGTAAGTGTCTGAGGTCAGATTTAAACACAGATTTTCCTAACTCCAAGTCCAGCTCTCTACCCATTGCATCAGCTAGCAGCCCAAGCGCTGAAGGCTTTAAATGCAGTGTTCAGTTAGTCGGTCAATAACCATTCATTATGTGCCCTCAATGTAGTGTGTTTGAGACACAAAGAAAGGGGAAAATCATCTTTTTCTCTCATGGAAAATTCTTTCAAATGGAGATCATGTAAATTTACAGGTACATAGAAGATACTTGCAGAGGATATGGAAAGTTAAGTCTAGAGTAGAAGACTTTACTCACTGGAGGACTGGGGATGGCTTAGAATCTCTAGAAATGTGGCATTTGATCTGCCATGAAACAAACCAGTGACTCTGAAAGTTGGAGGTGAGTTCATATTGTATCCTAGAGGCATAAAGGAGTCATTGGAGAATTTTGAGTAGGGGAGTGACATGGCCATACGATGTTTAGCAAAGATTATTTTAGCACTATGTAGATTGAAAGCAAGGAGAGGGAGAGGAGAAGGAGGGGGAGAAAATTTAAAACTCAAAATCTTATAAAAGTGAATGTTCAAAACTAAAAATAAATAATCTTAAAAAAAGAAAGCAAAGAGAAAAGTTATAAGGTGCCACATTAGTGGGGCTGGTACGTCAATTCAGGGTATCCTATGATATAAAGAAATCTGTCATAGGGTCAATAGGCTTTGCTTATATAGAAGCAGGAGTGATGAAGAAATGGAAGAGTATAAAGCATGGGTAATGCAAGACTCCTGGGAAGTGTCATAGTTGTTGGGAGGATATGAAAAGGGGAGACCCAGGATGTATGCATCAAAAGGAAGGATGCAGGATTAAGAAGGATTCTATCTCCTTTGCCATATTATTTCGGACTAGTTAGACTCATCAATAGCCCAGTTATATTCTCATTAATGTAAATGTCTGCTTGTATCTGCTTCTGCAGAAATATCTGACAAAGATGAAGAGACTTTCTGTTTGTGAGAAAAGTCAGGGAAGATTTCTATAATGCTTGGTATCTATGTGTAGTTATCCAACTGCATATCTGTTGTACAGAAGTTTCCATTTAGTTAGTTTGGGGACTGGCCCATGGAATCTACCAAAGGCATGTTTTACCTCCCAGCTATCCCCAATTTTCAGAGAGACTTGCATAACAAAGGCAGAAATTGTGGACACCAGTGTGGACTAACAAGATGGATAATATGACCTTGCCTTCTTAGCTTAGCTTATATGCAGGTTCAAATACATTTGAAAGTCAATCCTGAGATCCTGGGAAGCTTTCTAGCTCAACCTCCATAGTGCTCTTGTGGAATTTCTTTGGGAGATTTACCTGAAATGGGTTATAGTAGAATAGGATTGTATAATGGTTTAATGATACCCCAGTAATTTATAACCCTAAATAAGATCATAGAAAGTGTCTAAGATATCTAAATGAAATTCAGTTTCAGATATGGGAGTTTAAAAAAAATCTTAATCTTGGCCTGAGAGCATTGAAGCTGAATTTCATTTGGCTATGGTCATTCATAGACTAAATCTTGTCCAAAGAGCCGGCACACTGGCCTTAGAAAAGAAAAAAAAAAGTAATTTATAGCTTAGTAGAAAGAAGCTAAGATAACCAGCACGTAGCTCCAAAAAGTTATGCCCAGTATTGATAGCATAGAGAAGTATGGTGATAAACCAAGTAACCCTGAAAAACTGAGACCAGAAGTTATCCCCAACAAGAACTGGGAAGCCAGAAGCAACCAAAAGACGAGGGAAGAGATGCCTAGGAGAAACAACTTCACATATGATAATGGAAATACAATGTCCAAATAATAACAGAATAGAGTACTATGATGATGTTATCAGAGAAGATCATCAATCCTGATATGTTTACCCTAAAGAGATGTGTTCCCTACATATGAATCCTTCATGAAAACATTCTACTTACACAGGTTACTTCTGTCTTTGTTCAGCTCCCCTGGCTACTTCCTTACCCTGTGTGTCTGCCATCCATGAATGGTTCCTGGTCAATCTATCAATTGGTAAGTATGTATTAAATGTCTACTATTTACCAGGAACTATGTTATATTCTAGGGAGGGATACAAATATAAAAAATGGAGTAGTTGAAATGCATTTCAATGAGGGGAGTAAGTGCATATTTATGTATATACAGAATGTGTAGGACAGCTAGGTGGCACAGAAGACGGATTGCTGGCCTTGGAGTCAAAAAGACCTGAGCTCTGATGTCTAACAGTTACTAGCTGTATGACCTTGGGCAAGTCATTTAACCTCTTTTGCTTCAGTTCCCTCAATTGTAAAAGGGAGAACATAACAGCTACCTTCATCTCAGGATCATCGTGAGGAACACATGATACGATATTTGTAAAGGGCTTGGCAACTTTAAAGCACTACATAAATGCTAGTTATTATTATCATTATTATTATCATATAAAGATGAAAACAAAGTAGTGAGGGAGAGCATTGTAGTGATAGAGATTAGACAAAGCTTCATATAGAACTTAATGCTTGTGCTGGACCTTGCGGGAAGCGAGGAATTCAATGAGGTTACAACATGCTCTGTATTTATGTGTATTCAATGTGCATCACCATGTAGACCCTTCATATTTGGTACTTATATCACTTCTTCTATTGGTGGTGTGGAATTTTGTGGAGCCTCTTACCCCACATGTGCAAGGGTGGGAGGAGATTTTCTTGTCACTTTTCTTTTTTTGTTATGGAATCTGATGGAATGCTATGATTTTTGTTTGAACTACTACATCCACTAATTGGCTGACAAAAGTAAAGATACTGATTAGGGATCATGAGCTATGTTTTTTGAGTGGCAGCTAAACCATGGGGTCCTTGGAATTTTAGATATGTTTTCCAAGGTTTCAAATGTAGAAGAGATATCCAGTTTGCTAAAAAGTCAAGTAAGGCGTTCAATGCCTATATAGAGACATATCTTGATGACACTTTTTTTTTGTTTGTTTTAATTAGATTTCCCACATTCAATGGAATCAAGTCTCAGAGCACCAAGCA